CTCTGTCTCCCTCCAAGAAAATAATTGCATTGAATAACAAAAACTGTGGTGGTAGGACATTTCTTATCACAGCCAGCAATTCACTATTTTTCAGCCCCTTCCCCTCCTAACAGACTAATGATGTAGGTGTCATATTATTCACATTTTAAAAGCAAAGAAAGTGAGGCAAGAGAGGTGAGGTGCTCTTATGTGTAGAAGGCAGGGCTTCTCATCCCATGAGGCAGTTTTTCCTGCTGCAGCCACAGCAAGGCAGGGTGGGCTGCGAGTGATGTGGTTCATAATGGTGGCTGTTAGTCTTTGCTGTCTTCAGGAGGACTGAGACTCTATATACCTGGCAAGCCTGTGTTCTGCTTCAGAGACTTTACTGGTTTGACTGCAGTGCGGCCAGGGACTGATGTATTCAAAGTTTTCCAGGCAATCCAATGTGCAGGGTTTAAGACCACCAATGTGTGACACAGTCTCCAAGAGGGAATGCTAGGTAGCACCTTTGAGAAAGTTCTGTATTTTTGAAATAGAACATATTGGTCTCTGCCCTCTAGGAGCTCCTGCTCTGGATGAAGACACAGGACTTTGTTGGGGCCAGAGAAGTCGTGATCAGGAAAGCTTCTTTCATGAGGTAGTGGCACCTGGACTATTTGACCAGGACCTGGCCTTGCCTCTGAGGTAACAGCAGGAAAGACACTGGAACCAAATCTGTGAAGTCAGATGCTTCTCCCTGCCTGCTAAGCTCAGGTACCAGGAGATGATCTACTATTGATATTTCTAGGAGAGTTGCAAGTTGGCTCTTGATAACTCAGGTGTTTTATAGAGTGAAATCCCCAAAGAGTCTGTTATGACTTATATTTAGATGTCCCCTAAAACTCATAGATGGGACTTTTTGAAACTGGTGGGACTTAGGGCATATGATGGGTGGTGCTAAATTAGTCTACTAATTATAGTTAGCATAGTTCTGGGTGGCATCATACAAAAGCCTAGTTGGGATAAAGGGGAAGGCAGGCTTGCTGCTGATGCTTGCTGCTTCCTTCCTGCCATACCATGTACTGTTTCTTCTCTGTGATTCCTCTCTGCGGTGCTGCCCTGCCTCAGAGCCAGCCAAATATGGACTGAAACCTCTACAAGGTATAAGCTGAAATAAAACTTTTCTCCTTCAAGTTCGGGTGTCGGGTATTTTGTCTCAGCAATGAAAACAGTAATTAAGACAAGGCCCTCACTCATTTCTAGGAAGAAGGAAGCAGAGAATCTTTTTTTTTCTTTTTTTGGTACCAGGGATCAAGCTCATGACCTCACACTTGGCAGGCAGGTGCTTACACCACTGAGCTGAACCCTCAGCCCCAGAATCTTAAATTTTTATTACTAGTTTATTTACTAGTGGTCAACATTCATGTAACTAGAGTTCAAACTGAGCATAAAGTAATATAATGACATCTACCCCTTATTAAGGATGTTCAGCATGCTGGGCACTGTACCAGATGACAGAAGTGCCACAGTGCTACCCTATTATACATAAAGAAAGAACTCACTCCAGTTCATATTCACACATGTGTACACACATACTCTGACTTCACAACTACAGCTCTTACACTTTGTTTTTTTTTCTTCAAGCATTATAGCCAGAGGCCTTATCCTTGCCAGTGCTTACCTCCGTCCTGGAGACAGTCAAGCAGTAAAGGTCGCTGCTGGGAGAGGGCGTCTGGTTGCAGACCACAGCAGAGAGATCATGCCCCTCTCTAGTTGCACAGTCACTAGCAGTATCCAGGTTAGCCAGTCCTGATGCTCACCACTCCTGCTTTGTCATTTGCTTGCAAGCAGGTAACTGGTGTTCTGGGGGCAGCCTTGGAAGCAAAGGACCCTCGGTTGCCACCCCCCACCACCACCACCATGGGAGCACAACAGTGCTCTTAGAAAAGGGCTGGCTGTGAAGGTCATAGTGAGCCAGTCACACACAAAGGACTTCATCTGTACCCACTGGCCAATTCTGGTTCTGGAGAACCTTTCACTTACTCATATATTCAGCTGGTACTAACTGAGCACCTGCACTGGGGTCAGGATGTTAAATAGCAGCTTGAAGCTAAAAGTACAAATAACTGTCTTAGTAATGGTAAATACAATGATAATGATAAAGGCTGGTATTGTAACAACAGTTGATAATACCTCTTTTTGTTTTCTATAGGATTTAAGAGATTAATACATTAAAAACAATTTTTAGTGTAAAAGGTAATATTACTATAACTTTGTTTCATAACTCCACACTTGCTTTTCTACATAATTTGAGGCTAGTGCATTTTCAAAAATTGCTGGTTTACCTATGTACATATATAATCTTTTGCTTCTTTTTTTTCTCCTTTCCCTCATCCCAGTTCTTTCCTGTTGAGCACTTTCTTTCCCTTTCATTTTCACAATATCTATTGCATGTTTTGGATCTTATTTACTCTTTTTTTTTACACTAGGAAGACCATACAATATTTACACATGTGAGTCTGATTTATTTCTCTTATGAGTATGGTCTCAAGTTGTATCCATTTACCTATAAAAGCCTCAAGCTTATCCATTAGAGGTAATACTCCACAGTATAAACATACCACATCTTCTTTATTCTATGGTTGATAGGCATTTGGGTTGTTTCCAAGATCTGGCTATTACAAACTGTGCAGCTATAAATGTGGGTGCACATATATCCCTGTGGTATGATGTTTTCGATTCTTCTGGGAAAATACCCAGAAGGGGACAGCTGGTGTATATGTAAATATATGCAAGATAGATAACTATACTACTTATTTCTGTTCATCAAAAGAACAGTTGTGTTTTCATTGTCTGATTGATCATTTTTTCATGCCTAAGTCTTAAAATCTGAACAATTACTCTCAAGATATCAATATGAAATATATTAACTAGCATTAATTCCCTATTATTTTGAAATTCTGTATCATTTTTACCCTTCGTTTTTAAAATTAAAAAAACTAGTGAAAAAATTATTAATTTACATTTTGGATCGCACAATATAGAACAAGGTAATTTTGTGAAATCAACAACTACAGTAGAGGATGGAATGGAGCTGTTAAGTGAGCAATATTTTTGCACGTTATGAAGTAAAGCTAATATAAATTCAACTTACAGTGTTACAGTTTTAGAGTGTTAAATGTGACCTCCATGGCAGTCACAAAGAAAATAGCTGCAGAATATACATAAAAGGCAAAAAGCTACACAGAAAACAAGTAAAATGACAGAAGTCCTTTCTTATCTGAATTACTCTAAATGTAAGTCAGTCAGACATTCTCATGAAAACACAGAGAGTGGCAGACTGGATTTTAAAATGATCCAACTATATGGTGCATAAGAGTGTCCCTTTAGCTCCAAAGATATTAAATGGAACGAAAGTGACAGGATAGAAAAGACTTTGCATTCTAACAGCACCAAGAGAGACCAGGGTGGTTACAGTAATGCCAAACAAAATGAACTTTATGCACAAGTTACGAGCGACCAGGACAGACATTATGTATCAATAAGTTTCAGTACAGTGAGAATATTTAAGAATTATGCATATTCGATGACTGAGCATCAACAGAAGAGACAGTTTACCATAGTACTGATAATTCTCCTACTCATAAAAAGGGACAGAGAAAGCAGACGGAAAATCAGGAAACAGGGTAACAATAAACGAGCTAGATCTAAAAATTACAGAACACTCTAGTCAGTAACAACAACATACACGCGGTCAACTGCACGTGGGACTTTACACGGCATGCAACATGCATTAGGTCACGAAGTAAAGTCAGTAGATTAACCTGGTCACCACCTCCTCCCTCCGGTCCCGCCTCCCTCAAGAAGAGCACGCCTTCCTCAAGCAGGCCCCGCCCCACTTCAGCCAGGCCTCCACACTTCCCGCCAGCCCCGCCTTCTCCAGTCAGGGCTCCTCCTACTGGCCCTGCCTCCCCATGAGGCCCCGCCTCCCCAATCACGCCCCTCTAACCCCAGCCCGGCCTCCTCATTACCTACCAGTCCCGCCTTCCCTAGTCGGTCCTTCTCCGTTTGCCGGTCCTGCCTGCTCAGGAGGCCTCGCCTTCCACAGCAGTTTCCGCCTCCCCAGGAGGCCCCGCTTCCCCCAGCCAAGCCTCCTCATCCCCTACCAGCCCCGTCTTCCCCAGGCCGTCCAGCCTCCTCCAGTCAGGCCCCGTCTCCCCAGCAGGACCCACTCCGACCGAGCCCCGCCTACTGGGTGGGATGGGGTCCCGGTCCCGCCCGTGGGGTCCCGCCCACCTCCACCGCCCACCTCTTGCCGGGCTCCGCCTCCTGACCCAGCAACCGAATACTCCTCTTGGGGTTCATCCTTGATGAGGTTGGCGCCGTCACAAACCTGTCACTTCGGGTGTCTCTTGCTACGGTCAAGTTGACAATTAGGCTTAAACCGCACAATCTAAAACTAGTAAGCAAGAGTGAGTGAGGGGCCTCCCGAAACCAAAACTTCAGAAAGGATGTAGGTGTATAAAGTGTATAGGTATATAGGTGTGAGCCGATTTCAGTCTTTCAAAATCTATAGAAGACATCAAAACTAGATGTGCGTGCATTTTAAATGGAATTGAGACAGCATTTGTAGGAACAAAAATGAAAACGCAGGAGATAGTTTCTGGGCTTGTAACTTGTGACAGAGGAAACGTGGTGAGAACTATTTACTGTCTGTCTTCCAATAACTTTATTCATCTTGTGTTTCCCATGAGGAGCTTTATACCTACTGCAAGAGGCAGAGTCCTAGCTCTGGAATTAAATTCACTCATACTACAACAGACAAAAGAAAAACGAAGAAAAGGATAAGAGAAGGCGCAGTCGGGGGAGCGGGGAGAGGCTTCTGCGTCCGGCCTAGATCCAGGAGAGAACATCATCTTGAGCTCCCGGAACCTTCCGCGGGTGGCAAAGGAACCGGCGAGTGGGCGGGAGAAATGGGCGGGGATATGGAGATACTTCCGGGGCGGGCGCGCGGGACACTTCCGGGCCGGTCCAGCTTCCCGCCGCCATTGGGGAGGCCAAACTGCGGGCCCGCAGCCTCCTGAGGCCCGTCCTCGCCGCCGCCTTTGCCCCTGGACGCCGCACAGGATGGTGAGGAGCAGCCGCGGGCGCGGGGACTGGAGCCAAGGCTGGGACGAGACAGGACGGGCGCGGGCCCAGGACGGCGAGTTCCTTTGTGCGCGAGCCGAGCGATCTGTTCGGACCGTAGGCTGATCCCGCTTTTCCTCCTCCTGCCGCCTGGCTCTGCTGGATAGCCGTTTAAAAGTCAGCTGAGCGGCCTGGAGTATAGGAAGGGGTATTGCTGGGTCTTGAGTTTGAAAAAGGCGGATGTACAGAATCGCGACGGTCTCGGGCCTGAGGCGGAGACTACCACCTCCACGGAGAGCCAGCTTGGATCCTGTTGCGCTAGTAAGCGCTCAGATACTCTGAGTTCGTCGCTAGGAAAACGCCAGCGGAAGGCTTGTGCTTTCTGGGGTGCTATTAATCAGAAAGGGGGTTAAGTGGGTGTGGAGAGGTCGGCGGCGCATTGCGGATGGAAATGTCGAATGATGCTGGCTTAGTAGTTTTTCCCAGTTTTAACGTTAGGGTCAGGCTGGGGATATAGCTCAGACGTAAAACACTTGCCAGGCAAGCGCAAGGTCCTGAGTTCGATTCCTGGTACAAAAATAAAGTAAGTTAGGGTCACCCAATGATCCAGCGGTTGTGTCCCTACGGGGGAAAGTCAGTGGTTGTCAGGAAAACAGAATTTTTCTATAGGTGACTGTGATGAATATGCGATGCTTTACATATGTCAAAACCCACAGACCTTATGAGACATGAAGAGTGACTTCTCATGTGAACTGTAGATTTCATAAGCCAATGTTAGTTCATCCCTTACTCCTAATGGCCCATACTAATTAACGTTAGATGTTAGTATCAGGAGAAATAGAAAAGATTGTGTACAATGCTAGTAGACATGAATTTAACAGTACCCAATTAACTTTAAACTTGCTCTCCTTAAGGGATTTTAATGTAAAAAACTATCTTTGAATGTAGTTTAAAAGATGGTCAATGTTATCATAAGGTATCATATGGCAGAGCACTGCATTGACTAATATTGGGTAATGGGCCAACAGAGCACCAATGATTAGAGCTTAATGTTTTAAGGGACATGATGCAAGTCTGTAATGGTGAAAAGTAGGATAAAAGATTTCTGTTAATCTGGACACCTGTGTACTTGGAAGCTGGGTTCTGGCCACAATTCTGTAACATCCTGTAAAACCATCATTACTGGTACAAAAGAGATCCAAATTCCTAGGCTTCTGTGCTTCCTCTGACCTATTGGTCTTGGACAAGTCATTTCTTTTGGCATCAGTTTTTTTCATTGTAAAAAGTTGGATGCAAGTCTTTTGATGTCCTTCCTGGACCCATATTGATTTTTGGCTTCTACTTATGATCATACTGACAAAGTAACTTATTCCAATTTATAATGGAATGGTTTATAAAACTATTAAGTTGGACTCTCTTCTGCTGGCTTCCATTTAGTGATTCTAGAACAGTTCCTATATTCATATTTTTTTCTTTCCGAAGTTAAACATCCTCTGAATTGTCTTGTTTTTAAAATACTGCCTGTCATTGTGTTGCTATTCTTGAATTTTTCACTTTGCTAGAAAGTCTTAAAGTGACCTTCCTGCCCAGAGCTAGAGACTAAGTATCCAGAGACTGAAATTCTCTGCTCAGTGCAGAGTGTGGGACATACTATTGTATTCATCCAATTGGTATGTGGATTCTAAATGATAAGGCTTATTACTTTTGGCCCATTGAATTGGTTTCTCAAGGTCTTTCTAAATTGCAGTATGTTTGATCATGATGTACTGGAAAAAGCCTCCGTGAAAGCAGAACTTTATTCGGTCTTGTCAGATGTTAGTCATTTCCCTTGTCTTGGGCTCACCATTTAATGTCAGGTTTGAGTTTCCTGGAGGGTTATTTTTTGTTTGTTTTGTTTTTTTATAAATTTTTTTTTGTCTTTTTCATTTTTATCGGCACCAGGGATCGAACTCATGACTGCCTGCTTGCAAGGCAGGCACTTATGCTGCTGAGCTAAACCCCCAGCCCCATGTTTTTTTATAATTTGAGATAAGGTCTTGCTGTGTAGTTCAAGTAGGCTGGTCTTGAACTTGCGGTGATCCTCCTGCCTCAGCTTCCCAAGTGCCAGGATAATTTAGAGTTTTAAAGCAGATGATTCCTGAGATGGGTGCTCAGGTCCTTTTTGGTTTTAAAGTCAGTGGATCTAAGTTATGGGTCTCTAACCTTCATGAAACCATATTAAGATCGAATACCTCTGAGCATACCCCTTGTACCAGGATTGTACAGGAATTACAGAGTCAGAAATTAGCCAGTGCCTAAAAAGATTACCTGTCTGAAGGATGGAAAGATTTGTCTAATGCATAGCAGACAGAATGGAATGTAAAGGAGAGGAAATGCCTTGTGGAGAGGTCCAGAAGCTTGAAGCATCAGTTACATGTGGCTGGTCTGGTCAGGAGCTAGACTATGAAGAGCTTTATATGCCATGTTAAAAGTTTTATGACAAAGATGTCTGGGAGACTGAGGAATTATGAACAGGTATGATACGTTAGTTTTTATTGTTGGTAGAGGTACGGTGAACGGATTAGTAGGAATGGTGGAGGCTAGGTATAGAATTAAAGCAGTGGCAAGGCATAGGGAATAGAGGAAGAGTAGATGGATGTGCTAAAGCTCATCAGGATTATACTAGCATCAGTTACCTATGCAGGGCCACTATTCCATTCCATTTTTTTTTAACTTACTTGAACTTTTTTTTTTGACTTAGCCTTGAACTTACTAAGTAGCCTAGATTGGCCTTAAACTAACAGCAATCCTTCTATCTCTGCCTCCCAAGTGCTGGGATCATAAGCATGCACCTCCATGCCTGGGCTGCATTCAATTCTTGTCAGTAAATTTATCCAGACCACGATGCTGTCTCTTTGAACACATGCAGGAAGAGAAGAGGCTAGAACAGTCACACACACAGGTCCATCCACTCCTGGCTTGGAACATCACCATCCCACCTCCTACCAAAGTTCTGTTTGTTTTTGTGTTGGTCCTGTTGATTGTTTTGTTCCTTCCTCTACTTTAGGTTATTAGCATCAATAATAAGCAAAACTAGCAGCTGTTTTGAGTATTCATCAGAAAATAGAAATGGAAGTCATTGTTCCCTAAAACTACGTAAGCTGAAGTTAGATGATGAGTTTAAGAAGGTCTGTTGCTATGCATGTGCATAGTTTCATAATTTAGTGTGATGTGAAATTAGACATGTATGGTGTCTGCTGCAGGCACTGTTATTGTTTCTTTGAAGTATGTGCACAGGTTTATTGGATTTGGCCGTCATCATTGGAGGGGCCCCCATGGTGAGAGAAACAGATATATTGTGTGGTCAAGATTATCACAGAAGGGGCTGGGGATTTAGCTCAGTGGCATAAGTGCCTGCCTGGTAAGCGCAAAGTCATGAGTTCGATCCCTGGTACTGCCAAACCCCCCCCCCCCCCAAAAAAAAAAAAAAAAAAAAAAAACAGATTATCACAGAAATGTAATTTTGATTACCTTTCCTTTGTGTTTTTCAGATTCAACTTTTCATCTTTCTCCTATGGTAGGCTGTTTTCTGTGTATTGGTCAAAAGGCCATGTAGCCTACCTGCTCTTTGAAGACCACTTTTAAGGTGTCTCATAAGATAGCTGGTAAGTCTAGCAGGAGAAAGTACATTGTGGTTTGTTTCTTCTTTACTCTAAAAGCATTTGTCCAGGATTTATGGTATTTTTGCATTAGTATTTTTATGCATGTGCTATTTGTTTTTAGTACTTTATATATTTTTTTCTTTTATTTCAAGGATAAAAAGGAGAAGAAAAACAAACTACAACAAAAATTCAAAACAGGTCAACCAGTGGGCAACAGTGGTACATATGTTGCACGTTGTCATCCCCAAATCATTCACCCAGAGAACAAGACATCTGCATGTATTTTTAAAAATTGAGGGTAGTAAAATACAGCAAAACAAGATGAAACAAAGCCAGTTCAGACAGTGTAGTGAAACTGGTACAGCAGGTTACAGGGATAACAATAATAGATAACGAGTATATCTCGTTATCTTCACAATAGTTGTTCTTTCAATCAGCTATAGCAAAATGAAACAAAATACAGAACATTATAGAACTTAGCAAAACAATATTGAATAGAGCAATACCTTTAATCAGAATAAAGCAAAACAGTGGTAAAAATATTTGCCTTCAAAGAGATGGTAGAAGGAAATCCCCCTTATTTGCTATACTGAATATGGTCAACCTTCCAAGAGATGCTCAGGTCTCTGGCTTCCATTTGCTAACGGTGGGGCAGGGGGGAGGTGGAATGTTTGATTCTCATCCTGTGCTGGTAGGCTCACTACTGCTTACCAGGGGTGCAAGCTGGTTGCTTGGTTTCCCAGTGCCCTAAGTTCTAACATAACACAGATCTCAGGAGATGCTGGTGGTTTTCCCCCTGGGGCAGCCGCAGCCTGCCACATCACAGCCACTACCAGGGAGGCAAGCTGGTTGCATATATTTTTTAATGTAGAGAAAATTTTGTGAGGGGCTGGGGATTTAGCCCAGCGGTATAAGCACCTGCCTTGCAAGTGTGCAGTCGTGATCCCTGGTACCGATAAAAATGAAAAAGACAAAAAACAAAAACAAAAAAAACCCACAAAAATTTTGTGATAAAAGAATTTTTGAAAAGTACTTAGAATTCTTGAGGAAAAATTAGAAAAGTATATGCTTATCTGTAGCAGTATTTTGTGGTCTGGTAGACCTACATGCATGTCTAGTAGAGTTTGCTCACTCTAGAGTGTGTGATGATGTGCTAGATATGGATATCTGTGGTAGGATTTGAGATATGAAGAGTGAATTCTGCAGCACTGAAGAACTCAACAAGAGAGTAAGTATAATGGTGAGACTTGGTGGTAGGCAGATGTGGATGATGGAACTTGGAGGACGGTCAGAGGAGGTGGTGGTAGGTAGATGGAGGGGCAACTAGACTCTTAAACCTCTGTTATGATGTTCACCTGATACGTAATATGATACTGCTTTATTGTGAGTTGGCCTTGACTGTTCGTCACTGCCATTATGGGCAGATTATTGAGATGGAGCTTTTGAAGTTACCTTGCTTTACTGAGTGAACACTGGGTTCTGAGGTGGTTAAACCATTGTTTTTACATTTTATTCTTTGTTGGTAAGTTAAAGATCATTGTAGAGATTTTTCTCTAGTGCTGAGTTACTATATTTTTTTTTTCTGTTGTAGTTTTTTTAGCCTTAGAAGAATTTTCTAAAAGACAGCATAATTGCTGAGTAATTTAGAAGGAATTAATACTTCTGAATAAAACTATTTGTTTCCTATACTAGCCTTTTTTTCTGCTTAGAGCAACAATAAAACCAAAACAAACAAGATACTATTGCTACAGGCAATGGAAAACAGCACTGTAAGTAGTAACACCTTTAAAAATACAGCTTGTTAGAATTAGAAATGCACTGATTTTCTTCTAATTGGTGGTTTTGAAGTCAGTAAACAGTGGCCTTGTGGTTGTATGTGTTTTGCTCTGTCCTGTTTTCTGAGGACCAACCCCATGGAAAGGATGGGCCTTTATGAGCAGCAGAATACAGAGCATTTGTACGCGCAACAGCAGCAGCTGGTTCTATTGATAAATGATGGCATGATCCTTATTGATTTTGTGGTACCAGGGATTAAACCTAAGGCCTTCCACACATTAGGCAAGTGCTCTCCCACTAAGCTACATCCCCAGCTCTTTTACGTTGAGATAGGATCTTACTAAGTTGCTCAGACTAGTCATGAATTTATAGTCCTCCTGCCACCATCTCCAGAGTAGCTGGGATAACAAGTGTGTGCTACTGAGGCTGGTTGGCATGTCTTTTAATGTGAGAAGATACTTGTTTTATTTTTAGACACAGGGTCCTGTTATGTTGCTCATGCTGGCCTTGAATCTTGGGCCGAAATGAACATTGTGCCTCAGCCTTCTTAGTAGCTGGGCCTACAGTGAGCACTACTGTGCTTGGGCATTAATGAGGAAAGATTTTATGACATATTTCCTGAAAAGACTAATAGAATATGTTTGTCACTTGCTGGACGTCATGCTGAGAATAGCATACCAAAATAGACTGAAGCAATGGGAAAGTTCAGGATAGAGTTACAAACAAAATTTAGTAAACACTAAATGGACTGTTAACACAGGTAAAGAAAAAGGCTGTGTAATCTATGTCACTGAGATACTAATTTGGGGTGAAAAATTAGTCTGCATTCCAACCTTCGTATGTCAAATGGATTAAAGATACAAATGGAATGAGCTGGGAGTATTGCTCAGTGGCAGAGCACTTGCTTGTATGCACAGGGTCCTGGATATGAGTCCTAGCAATATATACAATCACAAGCATAAATGTAAAAAAAACGAAAAGAAAATTTAGAGAAACTTATTGAAGGTTTTGAAAAATGATAAAGTAACAGCATAATTTAAAATCTAGAGTTACAAGGAAAATAGTTGTAAGTTTTAAATTTTTCTGTAAACCAATTGTGTATGGTTTTATGAAAGGTTAAAAGAGACAAATGATACTCTGGGAAAATAATTTCAGTAAAAGGGCTAATTTCTTAAACAGTTTGCAAAAAAATGTACAAATCATGGAGGAAAATGAACCAACACTTTTCAAAAGAAATTTGTAGGCCTTTTCATGAAAGAAAAGTACCTTAAACATTAATACATGTCAGTTTTTCCCTAAGTATAAGAAAGGTTTGGATTTTAGTTTTTTTTTTGTTTTTTTTTTTTTTTTTTGTCTTTTTCCTTTTTATCGGTCCCGGGGATCGAACTCACGACTGCCTGCTTGCAAGGCAGGCGTTTATGCCGCTGAGCTAAATCCCCAGCCCCCCTTTTACTTAGTTTTGATGAGTGAATTGAAGAGTTGTCCCTCATACTTACACTGTTGTACTAGTAAAATATTATACCATTTTGAGAGTTCGGCAAAATGCATTAATTTTTAAATGCAGATAATTTTGAGCTAGGTAATCCACTTCTAGAAACTGGCCTTGAAGAAATATTCTCACATGTAAAGAAAGAAAAGGAGCTCCATTAGTAAAAGTGTCCTAAAAAAATTTCTTAAAACAGATTGCCAAATAAGGTTTACTGTGCCCTCTTTCTTGTAAATTGTATGTATAGATTTGTATGTGCCAGGAATTTTTGCTTCAGCCACATAGTGTGGTGGTCACTCCATGGAGTGATGTGAATATTGAATCTGTTCTTAATTACAAGCCTGTGTTACCTTGACTGCAGGCTTCAAAGACTTGTTTGAACTTTTTTTTTTGTCTTTTTCGTTTTTATCGGTACCAGGGATCGAACTCACGACTGCCTGCTTGCAAGGCAGGCGCTTATGCCGCTGAGCTAAATCCCCAGCCCCTTTCTTTCTTTTTTGTTTTTTTTTTTTTTTTTGTTTTTTGTTTTTTTGTCTTTTTGCTTTTTATCGGTACCGGGGATCGAACTCACAACTGCCTGCTTGCAAGGCAGGCGCTTATGCCGCTGAGCTAAATCCCCAGCCCCATTTCTTTCTTTTTTTTTTTTTGTCTTTTTGCTTTTTATCGGTACTGGGGATCGAACTCACAACTGCCTGCTTGCAAGGCAGGTGCTTATGCCGCTGAGCTAAATCCCCAGCCCCGACTTGTTTGAACTTTTAAAAAGTCATGTTCTCTTGCTATAATGTTCTAGCCTTTAGGGTGACCTCTCTGAGCATTACTTGCTTGGTGTATTCCACCACAGCATTTGTGAGATCTAACAGAGATCTTGTTCTGAGAGGACTTTCTGATAACTACTCTGTTTGCTCTCTACACTTCTAACTTTCCTGGCTAATGTAAGCTCTGTGTGGCAAGGTGCGATGCTAAACCTAAGCACCTAGAATAGGCACGGAACACTAAGCAGTTATTTATAAAGTGAATGAACTAAATACTTACAATTAGCATGGGTAAAACATTACAAGATATGTGGACATTAATTAAATCAAGCCAGCATCTGGTTGAAAGAGCTTATGTTTTTCTTAGCTAGTTTTAATTACAAAGTATTTTCTGGAAAAGATTTAATGTGTTTTGCACAGTTTTAAATAGCCTAGGTTTCATTTTGCTGTTTATCATTGTATGCTGATGACTTGTTGATTCAAGGTTTCAGAATCGAAGTGTAAAGCTATACGATAGGTAATTCTGGGATCAGACTTGGATCACTGATGGGTGATCCTGACACCTGGACCAGAGATGTGAAGTCACTGTTTCTTCATTGGGAAATGAAAATACCATCTATGTGATAATTGTTAGGAAGATTAAATGAGATGGTCTAGATAAAATTCCCAGCAGAATGCCTGGGACTTAGTTATAAATTACTTCCATTTTCTTTTTGCAGTCTTTCAGTAGTATTTTGAAATGAAGCATGTGGCATTCTGGAACTTAAAAGTTATACATTTGTATTGTGGACTAGTACAGTGGTATTTTATTCAAAATTATGTCTCATGGAAATAATTTATTTCTATTCTGTCATTGCAGTGTTTTAAGAGCACAGGTGTTAACGTTGGGACAGAGGGAAAATGGAAGTGTTCCATGAGCTGCGCCGGCCTTCGGCACGTTTGGAGTGTGATCACTGCAGTTTCCGAGGCACAGATTATGAAAATGTGCAGATCCACATAGGCACTGTCCATCCAGAGTTCTGTGATGAGATGGATGCTGGGGGGTTAGGTAAAATGATATTTTACCAGAAAAGTGCAAAGCTTTTTCACTGCCATAAATGTTTTTTTACCAGCAAGATGTACTCCAATGTATACTATCATATCACATCCAAACATGCAGCCCCAGAGAAGTGGAACGATAAACCAAAAAACCAGTTGAACAAAGAAACAGATCCTATGAACAGCCCTTCTATTCCTGAACACCAGAAAATGCCCTGTAACTCAGAAGAACTGAAGCCTGTACCTCTTCCCTCTACAGAAACACAAAAACTTGGTCCAGTTCTTTCTCCAGAGTCTCCAACAACTGCTCCTCTTACTCCTCTAGAGCTTCAGAAAACTGACCTTGTTTCTTCTGAGCCCCAGGTACCTTCTCTTCCACCTGAGCCTTTGAAGACTGCTCTTATTTCTTCTCCTGAACTTCCAAAACCAGCCCCTGCTGCTTCTGAACCACAGAAGCCTGTTCCTTCTCCAGAGCCACAGAAACCTGCCCCTGTATCTCCTGAACCAGTGAAAGCTGGTCTTCCTAACTCTAAAACCCAGAAACACTCTCATTTTATAGACATAGGAGGGGCACCTTCAGCCTCATCTCCAGAGTCACCGGTTCTGTCTGCTTCTCCTGAGCCTTGGGGACCGTCCCCAACTGCATCTCCAGAATCTCGGAAGCCACCCCGGACTGCCTCCCCTGAGCCAAGGAAGCTGTCCCCATCAGTGTCTCCTGAACCTTGGAAGCCATTCCCTGCTGTTTCCCCAGAGCCCCGGAGACCAGCCCCAGCTGTGTCACCAGGTTCTTGGAAACCAGTCCCACCTGGATCCCCAAGGCCTTGGAAATCAAGTCCTTCTGCATCATCAGGTCCTTGGAAACCAACTAAACCTGCTCCATCTGTGTCTCCTGGACCCTGGAAGCCAATTCCTTCTTTATCTCCTGGGCCCTGGAAACCAGCTTCTTCTGTATCCCCTGCATCCTGGAAATCGTCTTCAGTCTCACCAGGTTCCTGGAAAACTCCCCCCACATCTCCAGAGTCATGGAAGTCTGGCCCACCTGAGCTTCGAAAGACCGCTCCTACCCTGTCACCAGAACACTGGAAAGCAGTTCCCCCAGTATCCCCTGAGATTCGCAAACCTGGCCCACCACTTTCCCCAGAGCTCCGCAGCCCAGCTGGCTCTCCGGAGCTCAGGAAGCCCTCAGGGTCACCAGACCTTTGGAAGCTTTCTCCTGATCATCGGAAAACGTCTCCTGCCTCCCTGGATTTTTCTGAGTCCCAGAAAAGTTCCCGTGGTGGTTCTCCTGATCTCTGGAAGTCTTCCTTCATCATGGAATCTCAGAAACCTACTGTCTTCCCCGAGACCCGGAAATCAGGTTCTTCTGGTCCATCAGAGTCCCCCAAAGCAGCATCAGATATTTGGAAACCTGTTCCTTCTATTGATGCTGAGCCTAGAAAATCCTTGTTTCCTGAGTCCACCAAAACTGCCTCTCCTGCTTCTCCCGAGCCACGGAAACGTATGCTTTTCCCAGAGCCCCGAAAGCATCTTTTTTCTGACTTCCCCAAATCTACTGTATTCTCAGAGTCTCAGAAGACAGCTGAGCTTGGTGATGAGCTACAGATAGATGCCATAGGTGATCCAAAATGTGATATTTTGGTTCAAGAAGAGCTTTTGGCAACACCGAAGAAGCTTTTAGAAGATGCTCTGTTTCCTTCCTCCAAGAAAATGAAGAAGGACAGCCAGGAGCACTCAGATGCTGAGCTAAGCAGCAGTGAGTACATCAGAACAGATTTGGATGCCATTGATATTAAAGGTCAAGAATCAAGCAGTGATCAAGAGCAGGTAGATGTCGAATCTGTTGATTTTGGCAAAGAAAACAAAATGGACATGAGCAGTCCAGAGCAGTCCAAACATGTGCTACAGTTCACTGAAGAAAAAGAAGCATTTATCTCTGAAGAGGAGATTGCAAAATATATGAAGCGTGGAAAAGGAAAGTATTATTGCAAAATTTGTTGCTGTCGTGCTATGAAAAAAGGTGCTGTTTTGCATCATTTGGTTAATAAGCATAATGTTCATAGCCCTTACAAGTGCACAATTTGTGGAAAGGCATTTCTTTTGGAATCTCTCCTTAAAAATCATGTAGCAGCCCATGGGCAAAGTTTACTTAAATGTCCACGCTGTAATTTTGAATCAAATTTCCCAAGAGGCTTCAAGAAACATTTAACTCATTGTCAAAGCCGGCATAACGAAGAGGCAAATAAAAAGCTAATGGAAGCTTTTGAATCGCCCTTAGAGGAGCAGCAGATTTGATTTTAAAACAGCAAATACTTGCTCTGTGGCATTATTTGCTGAGATCATAGCTTGTCACATAGTCTGATTGGATCTGTAGATGGTAGGGTGTATGATGTACTGTGTTTGTCTCATAGTGTTACAAAGTATAAGCATTTGGTTATTTTTTCATGGTCTCTGTTATGTGGCTATCTTGTAAATCAATAAAACTTTAATGTATATTCCAGATGGATAAAACTCATTTCTTTAAGTATTTTTGAGTAGAGTTACAAAGGGGGATAGATATTCCATTTAATAAATGAGCAACTTCTAAACACCTAGTTAAAGTATGTATGTATGTGTCAATGACTGATTTCAGACAATAGAAACTATGAGGTGGGCTAGGCCTCAGTGGTAGCGAGAGCACTTGGCTACCATGTGTGTAGCCCCTGGGTTTGATCCCAGCACCAGTGAGGGAGCGGAATGTTTAAGAATTTGGCATGAATAAATGAAAATTTGTTGCTTTTCCTTATTCGTATTTTCAAATCATAAGTTACTTTTTATTTGACCATGTAAAATTAGCCTATAAATCTTGAATAGTTTTTTGATGTTTATTTGCTTTCATGTCATGGAAAGTTGGAATTTCAGGGTCACTGATTTTCTGCTAACAGGGAAATTAAGTCTTGAAAATAGTTTGCAGTCTCCTACTAGAGGCTGCTAGGAGGAGAGTAGTATTATGGGGTCCTTTGTGTCCTTCCACATTTCCAGTGGAGTCTTCCATTTGATTCCCTGCCCTTCACTTCCCTGCCAGCTCACCAACAGATGATCCATAACTGCCAAATATGTTAGTTTGTCTCTCCTGTTCTTGGACCCAGCATGCCTCCTGTTTTGGTTTAAGACCAGGGTAATGGATAGGAGCTGAAAGTCTTCCAAGTTCACAGTAAAATTTTTTATAAATAGACCATTTCTGTTTGAGAAATATACTGATTTTGTTTTCCACAGTTCTGTTACTGTAAATACTTTGTACCTGTTCATGGATTATTTTATTCTAAGATACTTTGTCAAATGTGTATGAACCAAATTAAAAAGACTTCTGATGTCTGCCAAATCTCGTATATTTTTTCTTGTGTAATTTTCTGTGTATGAGTCAAAGTTTCGGTTTTCTTTCCCATTGCCAGTTACTTTCAACATACTAGTTTTCATATATCGAGCTGTGTTTTTTTTCTGGGTTCAGTGATCAGTGAGTTAGGAAACACAGTCTACTTGAGACAGTGTATGTGCTGTTAGTATATTAGAAACTTTTTTCTCAGTCAGTGGTTGTCTTGCCTGCTTTATTTCAACATTGTGTGACAGTGTCAGAGGATTCAGAGACAGGATTGAGACTGTTGGTCTTGTTATTAACTTTAATCCTGTTTGGATAACATTGCTCACAAAACAAAACAAAACACCTTTGTGCCATTCTTTTAGAACTTAATAACCAAAGTTATTTGGTAACTTTGTCATCTGTATGATAGCATTGCTCTCATCCATATGACCAGCTCAGTACATTTTCATTTTGAAGTCTCTTTTTGTTTTGAGACAAGGTCTTGTGTAAATCAGATGGCCCAGAACTCGCTGCAGTACTGCATCAGTTCTGGGATTACGGGCATGTGCTACCATGCCCAGCTTTTTAAGACTTTAATGAACTTGCGATCTAATGGTTTCAGGTAACACCCTTACTGGCTTTTTGTCATTGTGTGTTAAGTGACCAGTTTAATGTTTATTGTACTCTACATGAGTTATAGCTGAAGTAGTGTTTTTTACTACTGGTGTGGATTCTGTGACTATTTTGGGAAAGACCTAGAAGGATGCTTATTAAAAACATCCCCAAGCTGTGTTCCCTTTTAGATGAATTATAGCTCCAGATCTAAAACTGAAATTGTACCTTTTTCAATTTGGCAGTTACTAGATATATAATTTTGATTACATGTGTTTACCGTTGCTGTCAAATTCAGTGGCTTCAACCCTAAATACCTTCTGTTGTTCGCTGGGCCAGTGTTGGTGGTTTTTACCCTATCCATTTTTACTGCTCCTTTGCCCTGCAGTCCTCCATTTTCTAGAGATACCTTGTACTGCTTTACTCATGGTTTCCTTCCTGCATCTATCAAGTTAGTAGCATAACATCTCTGATCCCACTTTGAATGCTACCTCTCACTTCCCTGAGGAATACATGATGACAGGGGTGCTACATGAATGAACTGGGGCAGCCTTCCTGTTTTACCGTCAGCTGGTTAGCAATCTTAATTTACCTTTGCTTGACAGCTACCATAGTCAGCAGGTTCCAGGGATTAGGACCTGGGCATTTCAGGGAGCCTTTCTACCTGCCACATTTGGGATTGAAAATTTGGGTTCTCTTAAGTCAGGCCATACAGAGTTTCTTTGGTGGTGCGTGTATTTCCACTGCTTTGCTGTTCTGGTCCTTATCACTGAATGACTGGTGTGATAACTACTTGCATTCTCTCCAGCATTTACCCAGCTCCTATACATGACAATTTCCACCATATTAAGTAACCTCTTAAGATCTGGTTGCTGTCACTGGTAAACTACCTTACTCAAGTAGCCCTTCCACCTTTGACATACAAGTTAAAATTATGGCTTGTTCAGAAGCACCCATTTCTGCCTCAGGTCAAGTGGGGCAAGGGGCATCTGATTAACAATCACAATAAATGTGTATATATCTCATAAGACACAAGATCAATAACAAAGCTATATGCCACTTATAATGATTTTGTTTTATTTTAAAGAGAATAAAATGAACAAAATAAAACAATGAGAAAAATGTTGTATTTTAAGAGTAAGACAGTAGGAAATCCCCAGCAGTTACTGTATTGCATAATGTTAACCACTAAATAGATGCACAGACTACTGACTTAAGGCCTGCAGAATCAAACAGTACAAGTGTTTCTTTACTTACATCTCAGCCTGTGTTCTTTTGAATCAGCCAGTTGCTTAATATCTCAATGTGATCCTTCTTGATAGCTGAGTAGTACTCCATTGTATAAAAATACCACAACTTTTTAATCCATTCCTCAGTTGATGGACACTTAGGTTGTTTCCAAGAACTGGCTATTACAAATTGTGCAGGTATAAACATGGGTGCACATATATCACCATGGTATGATGCTTTTAGTTCTTCTGAGAATATGCCTAGAAGCAGAACAGCTGGAACAAATGGGACTTCCAATCCCAGCTTTTTGAGAAGTATCCAGACAGACCACAGTGGTTGCACCAGTCTACACTCCCATCAACAGTGTAGGGGAGTTCCTTTTTCCCCACAGCCTCTCCAGCATTTGTTGTTGTTGGTTTTCTTGATCCTGGCCATTCTTTCAGGAGTGAGATGGAATCTCAGTGAGGTTTTAATTTGCATTTCTCTAATGACTAATGATGATGGACATTTTTTCATGTATTTATTTGCCATTTGTATTTCTTCATCTGAGAAGTGTGTATTCATCCCAGATGCCCATTTTTGGATTGGATCTTTGAATTTTGGAGGTCTGATTTTTAAAAATTCTTTATACGTTTTAGACAGAAGTCCTTTGTGTGAGAGTTCACTGAGATTTTTTCCCAGTTTGTGGGTTTTCTTTTTACTATGCTGGAGATTTCTTTTGACATGAATAAACTTTTTTAATAAGAGATGATCCCAGTTATTGATTCTGGGAAATATTTCCTGTGCAGTTTGAGTCCTGTTCATGAATTCTCTACCTACCCTATGTCTTCAAGGTTTTTACCCAATTTGTCTTCCAATAGATTTAGTGTTTCTGTTTCAACATTCAGATCTTTGATCCATTTAGATTTTAATTTAATACATGGTGATGGGCATAGGTCTATTTTTAGTTTTCGGCATATGGAGAGGCAGTTTTTCCAAGACCATTTATTAGAGACTGTCGTTCTTCCAATGAACCTGTTTGGCTCCTTTATCAAAGATAAGGTAGTTGAGTGTGTTTGTAGTTGTGGTTGAATCTTCTAATCTATTCCATTGATCTTCAGTGCTGTTTTGATTCCAATATGATGCTGATTTTACTGCGGTTGCTTTGTAGTATAACTTCAAGTCAGGGATTGTGATGCCTCCTGCCTTGCCTTTGCGGCTTAGAACTGTGTTTCCTATTCTAGGTCTCTTCTCACTCCAGATGAATTTTAGGAGTAATGTCTCGAATTCTATGAGTTATATTGATGGTATTTTTTTTTATTTAAGGAGAAAAAGAAAAAAAAAGGTACAAGTAATACAAAATTTAAAAATAAACAGTAAGAAATCACTAGTTAATAGATTACATATTCTCATCTTAGAAATAGTTGTTCAAGTTACAAAATTGAAGCATATAAAGTGGACTTTCAAACAGTGAGAGTGCAAACAGATTTGTTTAATGATCAAATAAAACCTCAGTAATATGGTTATCTATCTTGTACACTTAAACATATGCAGTTATAACCTTTAGAGCACTTTTCTTTTGTACAATTACAATTACACATTTTGGGTCTTATTACTCCCAAGGTTCTTAATACTTTTATTTGAAGAGCGTAAAACCAAATGCGACATATCAGAACAGAGTCAAATCAAAAGGATGGACATAATAGATAATGTAAAAACAAAATACAAGGTGATCAACAATGGTTACCATACTGCCTCTTGCTATTTTAAGAAGAATTTCCAGTTATAATAAAATTGAGCAAAACAGTAAAGAATAAAACCAAAGCACTGGAGACATTACAGGACCTTAAAAGAAGATAATAGTCAACTGGAATGGGTATCATAATGAATCTTATTGCTTCACAGGTTTGCCTATACTTTCAAACTTGGTACTATCAAGCAAAGCAGAATAGAGGAAAATCAGTCGAAACAAGATGGTGAGGGCAGTACAGGATTTCAAATCAAGTCAATAGGAAATCAAAGTAGGTTATTATAATGTATCCTATTTTTTATTTTCCCTTAATTAAAAAGATAAAAAGAAAAAAGTATATAAAAAAGGGGGATTGAGATAAAAGAGGGCATAAAAAGAGAACAGCACAGGTTAAAACATAACCATTTAAGCAAAACAGTGTTTCACGACAAGATATCCTGACATAAAAATAGTTACCATAATGTCTCTTTCCTTCAAATCTTTGAGTATAACTTCTTGTACTATAGCACCAAACATATCAAGACACTATAAAACCATTCAAGAGAATGACATTATTATAGGGTATTTAGAACCAATTAACAGAAAATGAACAATGGTTTCTATGTAAACTCCTTGTCTATAACCGTTTTTACTTATCGTATATAATAAAATCCAATAAGATACAACCTTTTAAGACCGATGGAGACAGAAGAATACAAGTTTGATGGGACTTCAAAACAAGATGATACTAAATCAGCACTAGCTATTATGATGTCTTGTTTTCTCCAAAATAGCTGTGCCTACCATCCAATCTTCTCTGCCTCATTTCTTTTGAGCTCTTTTTCTGTCATTTGTTGTCAGTTTGTCTTCTTCATTTCGCTTTCTGCTCCATTCATTGTGGCATCTCTGCCACTATTTCTGGAATGTTGGTATTTTCCTTTTTTAGAATATCCTGCAGTATTCTCTGTTGAGTTGAATTGGTGGTTGCAAATTCCCCTAGTTCTTCTTTATCCTGGAAGCACCTTGTTTTTCCATCAATTTCTAGGGACAATTGTGCAGGATATATCACTCTTGGCTGGAGGATATTATCTTGCAAAGCTTGAATTATTTCCCCCCACGCTCTTTGTGATTTGATGGTTTGTGCCGAGAAGTCTGCTATAATTCTGATGGATGTTCCCTTGTAAGTGATCTGTTTCTTGTCTCTGATGGCTTTTAGTATTTTGTTCTTATATTGGATTTCTGGAATTATTATTATATGCCAGGGTGTAGCTCTGTTTGGGTTGTAGGTGGCTGGGGTCCTATATGCCTCGTACATCTGAGTATCTTTACCATTTGCTAAATTAGGGAAATTCTCTTGGATTATTTCTGTGAATAGCTTTTGTAGTCCATTTGTTTGTGTTCCTACTTCTTCTTTTATGTTCTTAATTCTTAAGTTATAGATCCTCTTATCATCTTCTAGCCTTTGTATTGTTGC